CTAGGTACAAACATTATCTTCATTAACTAAGGTTCTAAATTTTTAATATAGAGACGTGAGGGTATTAGTGTTTTTTCATTACATTATCATAATTTTCTTTTCCAAATGGAGTTGAGATGAACTTGTTGTCATCAATATTAGCATGACAAAGATGGATTTTGACATAAGATCTGGTCATTAATATCAATAAGGTTTGAAATGCCTAACACCGCATTACTAAACAAGATAAGGGACCTAAATCTCGACACGTTTGACTCACGGAAAATTAATTTGGCCAAGTAGAGTTTCCTCTTAGCCTGAGCACTGTAGCGAAAAGTCAGTTGTCTAAACTGTTGAGAGTAAAACTCGAAAGTGAGAATAGCTTTGTCTTTACACGAACGAAAAAGGCTCGATCCGAAAAATGATCAAGAAAGCCGCGAAATTTGTGCCTCCGACGCTTCACACCTTAGATGACACAGAATCTGACGGAACATCTTCAAATCTAAACTTTCTACATACCTTTATGATTGTCTTTTCTTTGGTATTTTTCGTTGGTGTAATACTTGATATATTCGTAATCTTCGTGATGGTACGAAGTGGACAATTGCGGAAGAATATTTCCAGCTTTCTGTTGTTTCACTTGTCTGTTACTCATCTGTTGTTTCATGTGGTCGTCCCTGCAGTAACTATGAGAGGCAAAACTCTTCAAAGATCAAGTGACGCGATGTGCAAAGTGTCCGCTTTTGTCGAGCACGCGTGCCCAGCTGCAATTTTTAGCACTCTAATGGCCATCGCTTGGGACCGTCACAAAAACATTTTACAACCCTTTAACAGTCTGGTTGCAAAAACTATGAAATCGTATTTACTGCTGGTGGCAGTTATTTGGACNGCAATGCGAGGAATTAAAGTCCTGTCGCACACCATCAGACTGGAAAGTCCAGCTTTCAGTGACATTTTATTTTCTGGTGGCGTTTGTCATTCCTCTTACTTATATGACATTTGCTTACACAAGAATTGCTGTTCGATTGTGGAAGAGAAGCAAAACTGGAATAATTCACAGCGCTGTAGCAAAGCATAAAACAAAATCAATTCGTTTGCTGCTGGTCGCAATTCTTGGTTTTGTTCTTTGTTGGAGCCCAAGTATTTTGATCAATTTGCTGGATAGGTATGGAGTTCTTGAAGGCCTATCTCTTGAAGAAAAAGTGAAGTTAAAACTCTGGTGCCACTTTATAGCCCCAGCATCGAGTTCGTTAATAAACACAGCAGTTTATGCATACTTTAGCCCTGAATTCAGGAAAAACTGCGTCAAATTTGGTTGCTGTTGCTGTAGTTCTTGTCAGCCTTTCATTCAGTCATGTTCGCAGTGCGGTGTTGATCACCGAGTGGGTTCAGACGAGACGAGTATGAAGAGATTTACAAGGCAAAGCGCTGCGAATTAAAAATAAAACCAAACAACTGCGCAAGTCCAAGAAAAGCATACAGCAAGACTGCAACATTACCTCGAGGGGCGATTTTACCCAGAAAAAACGGAACTTTTTTTTTTACCTCATCTTATTGTAGACTGCTATGACAACCGGCCACGTCCACTCTAATTTGAAAACGCAGCTTTATTTCTATGGTAAGGCCTACCGTCCACACTAATCCGTCATGAAAACGGAGCTTTTCAAAAACACTCTTCAAACCGGAGGAATTTGAAAACGTCGGCTTTGCGTTTTAGTGTGGACGGAAAACATTTTGAAAACGGAGCTTTTCGAAAACGATGACGTCACGATAATCACGTGATTTCCCTGCCCGAGTTTTCTTCAAACACAAATTTAAATTAACCGGTGATTGTTGCGTTTTAAAATTCCTCCGGCGTTGTGTGGATGGAAAACATTTGATGCGTTTTCAGAGAGAAGCCTCCGTTTTCAAATTCCTCCGGCGTAGTGTGGACGGAGCCTTAATTTAGTAGTTACAAAGAAATCTAAACATCTAGTCAATTCAACAGCTTTAGCCGGAGTGACAGTGCATTAAAGTTAGGGGAGGGGAGGGTGAGGTGATGGGTGAGGGGTGAGGTCATCTGTTTCGTTATGTGTATCACCTTTATTAGAAAAAAGTCCTTAAGTATTCGCATGGTTTGATTGAAGGTTTACCCTAGTATAGGAAATTTTAGCTTCTGCTTATTGACGTATCTTGAATAATTGCGATCTCTTAGCAATTTAGCGTATAGAAAAGGAAAATCATGAAAAATCAAGGAAATTATACACGGTAATGACAAGCTAATGCTCTGAAACGTAAAAGCGTTGAATTTCCAGTAAGTTAGGG